CCCGTGTTTTTGTGACCATGTAACCCTGGCTGTTATCTCCCCAGTCACCCGTGTTTATGTGACCCTGGGTGGTGTCTCTATAGTCACCCGTGTTTATTTGACCCTGGGTGTTGTCTCCCCAGTCATACGTCTTTATAAGACCCTGGGTGTTGTCTCCCCAGTCACCCGTCTTTATGTGACCATGTGACCCTGGGTTGTCTCCCCACTCACCCGTCTTTATGTGACCCTGGCTGTTATCTCCCCAGTCACCGGTCTTTATGTGACCCTGGGTGTTGTCTCCCCAGTCACCCGTGTTTATGTGACCATGTGACACTGGCTGTTGCGATGACATTAAACCCCGTCCTTAGGTTTAAAGGCGTCAATCAAAACTGTTTTTCCTATCAGAATACGACAAAGACCAATATTAAAATATACAGAGTATGAAATCGTTAGAATGATAGAAATCCTGGCTGGCAATATGTTCCTGCAGACTGATGGCAAACCCAAGGTTGGACAAGCTATGCCCTTCTCATGGCTGGCTGACGAAGATGCAAGTTTCTGTGCCTGTAACCACCGCTTCCCCTTTTTTCTCTCATTGATAACGTGAACGGTGCCTGGTGGTTTTGTAACCACCGCTTCCCCTTTTTCTCTCTCATTGATAACGTGAACTGTCCTGCATTGCAGAAGCACAGGAAGCCTAACCTGCCGGAATACCTGGTCTTACTCTCCTCGTATTTTCCAGGCCTATCCTTGCTTATCTTTCCTTTAGTTGCATTTTGCTATATCAGTGATATAGTATTACGATTTTGTTTACACTTTGGTATCATTTTGTTTACTTTTAGGCACACTGCACTAGTGTTACGCAATAATTATCTTAGTATAATATATATTTATATCTTGCTTGAAGTCTTTCTGACTTCAAAAAATTCATCCAATGTCCCTGTGATGGTTAAATAAAAAAGAAATGACAAAATACTTTCCTGGTTCTTTCCCTAGTACTTTCCGACTAGGGAAGTTTTAAGAAACGCCTTTGTCATTTTTTTTATGTCTTTTCTAGCAAAAGAAAAATAACAAAGATACAACACTTGGACTAGATGTCATGTCAACTATATTGGATGAAATAATGACATAGCAACGAGATATAAAAATATCAAAGCGGGAAACGCATTTTTAGAGTTGAGAACATTTTATATCTGAATCAAAACAATGATACATGAGGAATAATAAAATGAGGTTGATGTGAAAAAATAGAAGCATGTCAATGATTTATAAATTGATCAGATATTGAATGAAAGCACACGATGTCTTTCAGTTTTGTCAAATATTGTATACTATATAATTATCCAGATTTTTCTTTGACCGTTTTGTGTTGATAAGTTTAACCTGCGTAGTCTGTAGACTTAAGTTTCTGAAGATTAATAACCTTAATCAATTTTCCAGATTTACTAGATATTAACATGGAAGTTAAAAAAGTTCAAGTGTGCGTATTGAAAAATTTCTGATTAAAGGAATTCATATTGAATGTATGCCCTTCTCTATGTTTATCAAACTTCCATTTTGGATACTAGCTTCATACCAGTGTGAAAACGGGTATTTTAAATGAACGATATTTCATTTAATAATCGATACTAATCAAATACATGGCGTTCGAACCTGGATGTATGCATACAATGGCTCGGCGTGATAGTGTGTAAATAAAGGTATTGGAGGATTATTTGGTCTGACAAGGATACCTAGAGTATAATAGGCCTCACTTTCTATAAACCGCTAGGTGCTGTTTAGGATTTGTTTGCTTGTAGTGTTTCCTCGCCTATTAACGTAAATGCCAAACCAATTAGCTGGTCGTGCCAAACTCAGCCTGATCGGTTTGCGAGCAGTCAGATAACCCTCCTCACGTCGAAATTTACTTGCTTGAATCGTCGTAACGATCGTGTTCTATTTTTCTACATTACACACATGCATAGTCTGCTAGTATTTGCTCTAATATATAACAACAAATTCTTTTAACAATAACGCTAATGTAATACTTTATTTCAAATTCTTTTAAGCATTTCATAACTATCCAGACAGTAAGTCACTTTTCAAACAGCAGTGTTACGGATAGACATATTCTTTACGATCGTTCCGGGAAGGCTTAATATACTTTATATATCTATTATCAACGAATTAAAATCCTCGGGAATAAGTCATTTGAAGCATAGCGTCGACAATAAATATTTGTGAGGATGCTATGGGTATGGCTACAGTGTTGTTCCCTCTCAAAGTTTTCAGGTAAATAGATATAGCGCTTTGTGTCTTATCTCCAGCGAAGATAAGTTTTTTTTAAACATTGAGCTTTTGTCTATCAACTATAATGAAGAGGTTTACACAGAAAATATCTTAATGTCCCTTTTTAAAAAATCGTTTTCACCATGAAGGTTCGATTCGGAAACCTCTTGATTGTAACGAAAGAAGCTTATCCACCGACTCTGAGGGTTATGCAAATAAGTTCAGCAAAATACCTTGGAACATTGTATAAATTCGAAATGTTCTACTTTCCTTAGTATACCAACAACTTATAACTGTTTTTATATAAACATAGAGACAATAATGTACATTAACAAGGTAAAATCCTTCCCTTGAAAGTCTCTATTTAATGGAAATGCGGTTAGACGCCCTACCTTAAAATGACAACTCATTTATCTTTAATGTTGTTTTCGTTACAAAAACACACACACAAAATTCTAGTTTCCTGCTTCAGGACAAAGGCTAGCTTGAAAACTTACACTGTACCTGTGATTTGTGTTAGAGTTAAGGTTATACGCTATCGTACATGTTATAGCTGTAATTTGTATTGGAGTTAAGGCTGCATGCTACCTTACACGTTATAGCTGTGATTTGTGTAGGAGTTAAGGTTATATGCTACCTTACACGTTATAGTTGTGATTTGTGTAGGAGTTAAGGTTATATGCTACCTTAAACATTAAAGCTGTGATTTCTGTTAATGTGTGTTATAACCTTACACTAGCTGGGACTTGTGTAAGAGTTAAGGTTATATGCTACCTTAAACATTTTATCTGTGATTTGTGTTAGAGTTAAGGTTATACGCTACCATACACATTATAGCTGTGATTTGTGTTAGAGTTAAGGTTATACGCTACCATTCACATTATAGCTGTGATTTGTGTTAATTTGTGTTATTACCTTACACTTTATAGCTGTGATTTGTGTAGGAGTTAAGGTTATTTGCTACCTTACACGTTATAGCTGTGATTTGTGTAAGAGTTAAGGTTATATGCTACTTTTAACATTATATCTGTGATTTGTGTAAGAGTTAAGGTTATATGCTACCTTAAACATTATATCTGTAATTTGTATTAGAGATAAGGTTATTTGCTACCTTACACGTTATATCTGTGATTTGTTTAAGAGTTAAGGTTATATGCTACCTTTAACATTATATCTGTAATTTGTGTTAGAGTTAAGGTTATATGCTACCTTACACTTTATAGCTGTGATTTGTGTTATATTTAAGGTTGTATGCTACCTTACACATTTAAGTTATTATTTGTGTTAAAGTTAAGGATATGTGTCCTCGTTCACACGTTACTTGTGGTATGTGTAAACAGTTAAGGTTGTATGCTACCTTACACAATATGCATGTGATTATGTATAAGGACTGTTTTTGACATATTCAGTAATACCTCGATAACACGTCTCTCCTTCTCTCTTCTCTTTAAATCCTTTATACAATACACACTCTACATCCGGGACATACAGTGGCAGAATTACGAGGTTTTCCTGCAGTATGTCGTAATGCAGAGATACATGATTGTTATAATTGCATGCAGTTTAATGTAAAATTGACGAGAAAAATCATAACTACCACACACAAAATATAGTTCTTTATGTGGAAAATGATAAATGTGATAGCTATGTGGTGTAAATCATTCCCTTAATATTTGCCTTTTTTTCTCAAAGCCCTTACATATGTACTGTACACCTACAACATCGCAATTTGCTCATACTAGTATGTTAAAATCAGCCCGCGGAACGTGTTGATTGCTATCGTCTTTATCATTTATCCGTCTGTGAATATCGTCTGAGGGCAGACGTGGAGTGTCGCGCATATTGTTAAGGACATTATTTAAAAGTACACCTTGATATCTTCTCAATATTGGATTTTCTGGTAGGAAAATCAGTATCTTGTCAGGCGGTAAGGGGTAGTTGTGCTTTTTTTTTATTAGAGAAGCTCATTGATATGTCTTTTTTGTCTTGATGTTCACAAAGCCATTGATCAACAAAGTATAAAAAGTATATATCTACTTGTTTCAATTAAGGTGGCGATATTTTCTTTTTCATTTACATTTACTATATATATCTGACAAGTCCGTTAATCTCTCATCCATTGTTACAACGATCTTTAATAAAACATCAAACATAGTTAAACATCCTTTATAAATCACCTGCCTATATCTACGACATGTTGGAGTTATCTAACCTGTTTGTAGATACTTCCTGTGTATAACTACCACTAATGTTAAGTTACCACCTGAAGATATATATATATATATAACAACCAAATTCGTAATACACTTTGAGCGCATCTTTCTGAATCATTCTTTATTAAGAACGAATTTGAGTGCATTACTGGGCAGTTTACATAGACCGATTTGGATTCGAATCTTCATATCGTTGTTTTGTACGGTTTTAGTGAATTAGGTGCATGTTTTTTTTAGTATTTGGTTTGGTTGTTATGTTGGATGAAATTTTTAAGATAAGTTACACAGTAGGTACTTGCAGGCAGGGAAGATTTGATTCCCTGTACCAGGGCGTTATATTCTGTATATACTACAAAGCTCTTTTGACTTCGAAATAGAACTGTTCCTCAGATAAGACCTGGAAACCGTCGGTCTGTTTGTCCCTTTGTCTCAAAGACACCATTGTAGATATCGAAAATTGACTGCTCCCTAGGACGCTTCAATAAGGTTTTAAACTGCCTGAGCTCTACTTTATTTCAGTTATTGCTTGTTCTATTTCAGACATCTTGGAATTGACTTCCGAGGAAGACGCCTTGTTCCTGAAGGAGGAAATGATTGGTACTACCATTGAACACCAGATGGATGTAGCCGATATACTGAATATAACAAGTGAGAAGCCAACTAGTCCAGACTCTACCACCCCACAAGTACCGCCTTCACCCCTTCTGCCACCCTGCAGGGTTTGTAGTGAGAAAGCGTCCGGGTTTCACTATGGAGCAAACACATGCGAAGCATGCAAGGTAAAAAGAAAGAAACCTTTCCGTCCCTTTTTGCAAATGTATGTCTGTTAATTCGTTCAAAGAGAAACCTCTTCTGAACATGCACCTAAAGTGGTGAACAATTATTCACTCTAGAATGGTTTCAACTGAATACTAAATACAGGCGCATCGGCTTTACGGTTTTACGAGTTTTACGAGTTTCCCAAGCTTCAAAACCATGTTCTAGTCATAAGGTTACAAGTTATTGCAATACTACATAACCCTCTGCTAAGTCCTATGGTTTTATCCTACATTAGCCAGGAAGTAGCTTCAGGTTCCTCGCCGACATACGTATCTCCCTGGACTAGTTTAAATGTTTTAAGTTTTCAATAAGTGACACTGTAACTTTGTTTTCTGTCGTTGCAGGGCTTCTTTAGAAGAAGTATTGTTAAGGTCCAGAACAACAAGGAGCAGTACAAATGTCTCGGGGACGGCAAGTGTAACATCAAGCCGGGCAAGCGCAGTGCATGTCCTTTGTGTCGATATAAGAAGTGTTTGGAGGTGGGAATGTCTCATGAAGGTAAAATTGTTTCCGTTCTTTGATTTTTGTTCATGCCCCCGAAAATGTATAGAAGGACAATACCGAATTGAGAACCCCTATTACCTCTCATCGCACCACCTACATGTTTGTAGCTTTCTTATCCCCTATCCAAATATCTGAACTGAATAAATTTCTATTCCGCTGGGGATAAATCGGTTCGGCACCTTTAACTTGGACTGGTTTCAATTTCATTTTTGTTGCAGCGATCAAGACAGGACGTTACACATACGAGAAGCGTACGCGCGACACACAAGAGGTTAAAAAGTTACAATCACAGAATAATTCTGTCGATCATCGATCGGAATTGGACTTAAACGATGACGAAGCTTTGGCTATCATCGAACCAATGATGGAAGTCCAGAAAAGATACTGCCCTCTGACCAGTCTAGACCCTGATATGAAGTTAGAGCTACAAAAACGACAGGAGATTATATATGTAAGATTTGCATGTTTGATTTTCCTTTGTAATATTTTACAATTATTATTTTTCTGGTGTTAAAGCCGTGATGGAATTTGTTTGTTATACGTTATCCTTCCAATTTGTGTCTACTGAATCTAATGTTGGCTAAAATAGCATCTAGAACCGTAAGTATCATTGATTTACGAAATATTGAATATCATTATGATATAATACAGATCTGAGAGCAAGTTACTTATTTGTGTAGTCATTTTGTAGAACAGACATATTTTTATGAAATTTTCGGTCACTTATCTCGGACTACATAATGACCAGCCATGTACGTTGGGCTCGATGTTAAATGTAGTTAAAATCTTGTTCGGCAATGTCATTATAAACCAGACAGACGAAAATAGAGGACATGGTGTTTTTTCTGTATCTTGTTTTTCTTATATAGAATAGATTTGCAAAGTAAGACATGGTTTCTTTTCTGTCATTTATGTTCAAATTTATCCCAAACTTTATATACTGGTAGAATTCACTTTATTTGAAGTGCTATTTTCTCATCTTTACTAGATGAAGCACACTATGATGAGATATATGTCCTTTTGCCTACATCGTTCTTAACTTTTGTGTGTTCGATGAAATTGAACCGTTACGCTGGGAGACAATCCTTCCCTACAAGCACGTGGTCAATATGGTTCAAATATGTTAGCTTCTCGACGGTGTACATACAGCTGGTTACATACGAAGAATGATACCTTTATAAGTTGTTTGAATTATTACAGGACCAATATAAATCCCGATTAGAACTGTTCGGAACGATGTCAACACTTCCGCCGGATGTTCACCAAGAGTTCAAAGAACTGACAGGCATCGACTTGGACAATCGTGAGGAATTAATGTCGAACATTGCCCGTCAGATGGAGCATGGTCTGCGGAACATGGTGGAGCTTGTTCGTCTCATACCCGGTTTTCCTGAACTGTCTGTCGAAGACCAGACTAGTTTAATCAAATGTAAATATCCTAGAGTTAAGCACAGACTATAATTATATACTTTGAAAGTTTCGTGCTTTTGACTGAGGGTTTCATTAGTGTGATTAGGTTTGGTTTGGTTTGTATAGTTTCAAGTCCATAACAAATTAAGTCATTCAAAGACGTGCATTGATTTTAGTAATATATAACTCCAGTATTTTGATGTATTTGCTTCCCTAAGGTACATGTACAAACAGCGCGGATCTGATGCTTACTTTAGAGTTAAACCTCACTGAAAAACAATGCCGAAGGCACCCGGTAAACTTTACCGAAAACGGGTAAACCAGTCGTTGAACTCATCCTGCATGCTCAACGAGTAGTGAGTAATAACAAGTACAATTTGAAAGACTTTGGTATATCCCGGCCTGGGGACAGAACTCATTGCCTTCCAAACATTGGTGTACGTTTTAGGGAAAGAGAAACATGTAACATTAATAACACACCTGTTTTTAACTACTTTATGCCTTATTTATGGTTTGAAATGTTTCCCTTTTCCACTTTAACAATAAATAGAGATGATATGAGTCTCTCTATTGTTGCTGATGGTCGTATCGACTTCTATCATTTTGACGTTGTGATTTATTATTTTTGTACGTCTTCATGGCTATAATGTTCACATACCTGCCCGGATGTCAATAATGAGAATAAAAGTATATAATTTAACTTTATCACATACCTGTTGAATCCTGTTATGGTTATACAAGCAATTTTTAGACCATGAAATACAACGTTTTGTATTGCACATGTGCAATACGGAATGCTGTATTTACCTACTAGCCTGGACCACTTTTTATGGGAATCCCCTTGTCATGGCGAACTGAAAAGTTCCCGATATTTGCAAAAAAATATCAAAGTTTATAAAATCTTTGTATCGATCTCTACCAAATACGGAAGGAATGTGATAAAAGCAAGACCAAACACTTCCCGAGTGCGCGGAGAGCACGAGTGAATATATACGTCCGCGCAATAAATGAGGGCTTTCTGATTCGTTAGAAAAACACAAGTGTGTGTTCTTGCATATGTATTGTTTGTAATTTTGTCAAATATTAAACTCAAATTAGATGTTTTGTTAAAATGAATTATTAAATGATGTGTATGCTTCATTTGCAGCAAGCCATTTTGAATTCTGGATTCTAATGGAGTTCCGAATGATCAACCCGGAGCTCTCGGTGGTGAGTGGATGTATCAATGCACACAAGGATGATTTCTCGAAACTGTTTGCAGCAGACCACACAGATGAAGTTTTTAACTTTGCTAAAACTTTACATGCGTTGAATATGAACACAGAGGAAATTGTTCTGCTTCGTGGAGTGGTGGCAACATTCAGAGGTAAGTAAATAAAATTAAAAAGCCATGATTTATCTGATTGTGGTTATTGTCTATGTGATTGATTTTTTTACTGCAGTAGGACTTCGTTACCACACATTAAAGATGAGGGGAGGGGGGATAAGACTCCATCGAACATGTTTATGTCGTCGATTTACTAATGTTTGATTAGACACAGGCACTGGTCAGCCGAAATGTCAAGATCATGGAAGCACTTTAAAATTGTATTGGAAGATATTGCGTTATCAAATACATCCCGAATATCTATTGAGGATTGTCACCCTAATTTGAAACACTGTTTCTGATTGGATATCTCGCCGGGGTCTATTTTTCTATAGACCCCGCTTTGCCGGAAGAATATCTCTTCATAACAACAAAGGTAGCGTCCGACACACACAAGCGTTCAAGGTTTGCAAATTATTCACAGGATGAAATAGCCTACAAGCAATCTAAAACGACAGGAAATTCAACGAACAGGCAATGACAGGGGCGCTCTGATGCTATTTGCAAAGATGGTTGTGATTTGTCCGAAATATTGCCGAAAACTATTCAAAAGCTCGTGGTCTCTTAAGACAAGACGGGGTCTATGAGCCCGTAGACCCCTCCTAACCCAGAGATAACTAATATTATTTGATCAACGGTGTTCTTGAATTGAGATCAATGTGAAAATTTGGTCATTGAAGAGATGCGAAATTTGGAAAAAAACTACTAGTATTAAATATTAGTTTGTTGATTTACTACATCATATGGCCATTCATAACATCGAAAACGAAGTTAAACGAAAGTTCAACGATATTCAGTCAATATTGCTCCAACGAATTTATACTGACCTTTTGTAATTTTTATTTGCTATTTCAGATCGGTGTAAACTTCAGGAACCAGAGAAAGTGGAGAGAATCCAATGGAAATTGCTAAATTGTATCCGATGGTTGGCAAGGAAAAATAATATCAATCCTGATAAGAGAATACGTGTTTTACTAGAACGGTTGACTGCTTTACGGACCCTGACGGAGTACAGTTACAAACTGAATAAGATCAAATCAGATTGGCCTGTAATGTCCAAGCATCCTCTTCTACTGGATTTAATGAAGAGTATGCCAGCGTGATACATCTTTGATAGGGATGCATATCAGTTGAGGAAATGTTTCAACAAAATATACTGATTTGGAAGATTGACTTTGTTTGAAGTACACCGACATTTGGAATTGTTGACATGTTGAACAACCCGAGAAAATATTTTGGTTTGGTGGAACATCTCGCCGAGAGATTAACCGACCTAAAATAAGTCTCTCTGTGAAATTGGCATTGTTTTTTATTTGCGTGTGTAGGACTGTTTGTAAGATACTGATGTTTCAGAGGTGATCGTTTCCAGTTGAACGGAAATGATATAAAAGTTGAAAAATGTGAAGACGTCAATTACGATTCGACAATTTCGCGTAAGCCTTGTGCCTGTTACTGCGCTACCAATATGGAAATCTTTTGGAGTAGCCATTGGATATCAACAGTAATCGAACCAGTATTTGTCAACACTTTCATGCTTCTGTGATTTGATTTTCAAATGTGTGTAAAGGATGTCATGGATGCTACATGTGTGAGGTTACATTTTGTTGTGGATGTTGAAGTTGATATGCATTTGATACTGTTTTTCCGACACTGCAGATATAGGAAACGCCATCAAAATTACAAACACTTTTTTCTATACTTCATTTCTATTTACATGTCATACTGTTTAGGGTTTCCCGATTCCTTTTTTGCATGCCTCTATGATAACGAACACCACTTCGAAATGATTATGTGTTGGTTTGTTTTAAATATTACGATTTCGATCTTGCACCCATGCATTCGAATAAACTGAGGTTTTTGTAAAGGTGAAATATTTATTAAAATTAGCCATATATTATTTTCTGAGGAACAACTTCAATATAAGCAGATATACACTATATATTTAAATACCTTGTCTTCAGGTTGGTAAATATACATATTACAACTTCTTACAGTACAATCAATTACATTTTCATTGACTAATACGATTCAGTCAAAGGACTAGTTAAATACATGTACACTTCACGTGCGTATTAACTAGGTTCGAGGTGAATATTTAATGGCCAAGGCAAGTGGTTGACAAAGAGAGCAATCTGTTTAGGCGAAGATAAAGTACGCCATCTGGATACGCCGCAGCTCCCCACTGATGAATCGAGACGAGAACCTATAGAATCTTGCAGATTAAAGAACAGGAACTAAATAACTTGTACTATAATCGACTTCACGGTGCCACATTCATCTCTTGTATTGTTACATGTGTGTACATGTATTTTACGAGTTATTTGTCTGATGAAGGTGACTAAGTATGCATCATATTATTTCATCGAAATGTTGCACATAGATAAACAAGAATGCATTTATTTTGTTTTTTAATGCATATTATCCTTATACAGTAATTAATTTGTAAATACGTTAACGTTTCTTAACGAGGTATGAAACTTGTCCGACCTTCCATTGTTCTACGTTGACGTTTTCGAAAATAATTAACTCCCTTTCTGTAAACAAATGTCGATTGGTGTACTTGTTGTGAGGTATCGGTCATAACGGTACATTGTAGGTGTGTGTGTACTCATATTCAGACCATCCTTAAGCGATAGTTTTGGAATTCTGGCCGATATACTTTTATTTGCGTGTTATGGAATTGACAATAGTTAGTTTCCTTCTAAAAGGATTCATGACAGTATTTGTTCAGGGTAAGAAAAGTAAAAAAGTTTGTATGATAAGGCGATTACTCGAACCTAACGACATGCCCACGTTGGTTCGGTATGTTATCAACACTAACCGACCATAAGTCAAACGCCAACAACCTAGACGATGTGATTACGACTATGGAGCTTACATAATCGGGCTATTTAATCTGCCATTAGCGTCGTCGTCCAATGATTTACATATTTGTGTTGCGGTGATGTCAAACTCCCATACAAACTAGTGAAATAATCACAGTGTTATTGTGGGGAATACTGTACTAGTCCCAACTGAATTTACTAAAGAAAAAATAAATATTTTTCACGCTGCAGTATAACAAATGTTGGTATAATATATATTATTGTTCATTATTGCATAATTTGTTTCTATTAGTTTATAACTGCTGTTTGTGTAAAGTATGTATCTATAAATTTGTTTGCTATCGATCTTTTTTCTCAAAGAAAGGGAAATAACTATGGCAGATCGTCTCAAAGTAAGGTGTACAACTACGGCGATCCTCAAGAAAACACGGCAGCTTGGCTAGGTAGTTATGTTCAATCACATTGTTATTTTTGTTTTCCTTTCTGGATTTATAAGTTATCTTGCATAGATGAAGCTTCAGGTAATTATGACAACTGATTGCCGTGCGCTATGCTTGTGTATTAATCAATATCTAATTGGTCTGCTTTCATTTCATTCGATAATAATAAAAAAAAGATACACATATATAACTTATGTAATGTTGATGATGGTTTGTAGCTTCCTACCTGGGAGTAAAAAAGTACTGGTAATGTCATGTACTTCACTTTTAAACCCTTTCAGGATGTGGGCATTTTTTGTTGGTAGTTCTACAGTAGCAGCACCACATTTCACAGTGGGTCATTATGTTCGTGCGTGTATATATACTCCTGCTTGGAAGAAGTAAACGCGACGTTAGGGACCATTTACACGTTTACAATAGTTGTGTGATAACGAAATTCATTAAATCTAGTATATACCTTTGTAGACGGGAATTGGATATAGTTTTTGATATCGTACGCCAAATCGCCAAATTGATCGTACGGCTAGCACTCGCTCATCTAGATTCCTATAATCCCTGAGACCCTTCTATCTAATTTTTATTTATCAATACAAAAGTTGAACAAGTTTTCTCAATTTGTGTTTGCGAAGTCGATTTCTCGTGACTATAGATACACAATCTCGTGAACAATTATTCACATATAAGTTGTTTACAATGGTGCTCGAGCATCGCCAGTATAATAATGTATACTTATCTCGAAATGATATATATTTTACAATCATGAAAACAATACGGATATTTTATATATACCGGCGTATTTGAAAGACGGCAATTTATATATATATATATATATATATATATATATATTATGATAACTGCCATTAAGTATTGCTAAAAGGTAATGTCTCGGAAATATGTAGCATCCAGTGATGAATATGCATTTTTAATTGAAACCATACTGAATACAACTGTAAGGTTGATACCAGAAGTGTGAGTTGGAATATTTTAAATGTTCAGTTTATCTCAAAGTTTTATCGTAGTGTGTCATTAGGAATACAAACTAAACGAATTTTTTTCGACGGCATCTCATGTTTATTGATGTCTGATATTTTGACTATACGGCACTGCATTATGCAAATGCCTCAAACATACCTATACACGTACAGTATCTTACAAAGCCTTGTAAAGCATTTTATTTTCTATTTAGTTGTTATAGGGACCGTTTTATGATTGATATATCCTCGATACTCCAGGGGTTACGCTCACTTACCCTCTCTACAACCCTGGAATATGTCAGTGCGCCCGAACTTGTTGATGATCTATAAACTAGTTTGATCCTTTGATGTACATCAAAAGAATACCGCGGCATCGTAACGGTAATATTGACTACTAATTGTTTACATGAAGTACTAGGTCTAGATGGCGACTAGATCTCCTAGAAGAGGTGAAAGTACTGAAGACTCGTTGTTGAGAATTTTTATTTTTTTAAGAATATTTCTTCGTCCGTAAGGATCATTTTTCTGCATTTATAATATGTATATACATATATAGTTAGTAGACTTGATATGTCACCAGGGCATTACCTGTCACTAGGTTGTCAATTACATTTTTAGCATGTAGTAATACGACTAGGGCAGTTAACGCCTTCCTTTTGTGTAGGTGTGTGGTTTAGAGTTACCTTGCCGTGTCACTAAAATATCGACAACAGAAATATACACAAGGCGACATCTCGACCTAGTACTTCATGTAAACACTTAAGTGTGTATGTATACAAATATATTAATGTTATTCCAACAACACATAACCGGAGACGTTTTTGATGTACATGTAGGAGTCGGAGTGATTGCACCGCCATTATGTTATATAAGACGCTCACCTCCTCCCGCAAAATTGATTGTTATTATTTTGGCTTAATATTCTCAGCACTTATTTCTGAAAGAGTACAGGTAATGAAATAGTCCTTAAGTCCAATCATTCTGTGGATATTTTGTTTACAAGTGATGTCACCGGTTTGCCTTATTATATACGGTTATTTTTTAGAAGCCGTTATGATAAACAAGATTGCTTTAGAACTTGTATTATAAGCTTCTTGTTAATTCCTTTATCCAGAAAAGAGCAGCCTTATTTTTAACTGCGTCAATTTCAAAGTACATGTGTAAATTACAAATAGAACTACATATTAAAAATAACATCTAAATGCAATCTTGTTTCGTTTTGCCACGCCTTTGAAATGACGATCGCTGTAATAGAAAAGCAATAGAAATACAAAACATAAACAAATAAACACTTACTTATGATTTAGTAAGTCGATGTGAAAAAATAGCATAGTAATATTTATTTTAATGTTTAATATACAGTACAACTTTAATGTGTCCTCTTTTCCTTCCTGTTCCTGGGCAATTCCTCTATTTCCTTTCTCCATGTATCACCAAACGACTTTTTAACACAAATACTGTTCTTGACAAATGATGGCAATCACTGCGGTTTCCTCTCTTGTAGATTAAAATGAATCCTGACATTGAACAAAACTATTATGGTAAAGACTAACAGCTTTAGAGCTGTAACTCCGACGAAGAAGAGTATTTTATCAGCAATGTTTTGCCTCGTTGTTGTTTGGTTATTCCCTGTAGCAACGAGTTATATTTGAAAGACAATTATAACGTCCTTTCACCACAAAAGCATCTCGATCACGGGATTTGATCCCCCGACTTCGTGATCGTAATAACTGTATAGTTTACATTATACTTCAGGTCATGTTATTTGTTATGTTAAAGCTTTCTTCAATATTACAAGGAATACAGAAAAATTGGTAGGGCTCTCTTCTTTAAAAACAAACAATTGTTTAGTGAATATTATGTTAGTTGATACATAGAATATCTTTTATTTGAGTTGTTGTGATATGCTTATTTAAATACAGAATTCCTTGTTATGCATTTAATGTCTGTTTGTTGTATAGTTGTTTCTTGTTGAAGCTGTCCGAAGTACGGAAGCCAATCCACCCAGAGATAAGGGAACTATTTGCGAATACTGTACATATTGTTTTCAATGAAGTGTTGCAGTAGTTCTTGTTTTAGAAAGAGATTTATTTTAACGAGAAAAAAATATTTCATATACATAATGATGTGTGTATCTCTTTGTGGGAAAATAAATTCACCCAAAATGTCATTTTGTGTTGCTTTACTTCCAACAATAGAAATGTTGTTGTCCGTCTCTCTGTAAGAAATTGTACATTGCAATAGATACTTTATAAATTCTTTTTAATTTTGATAATTTGTCCAAATATATTCCATTACATTGTCAAGATTATAATGAACGATTCATACTGCACCCCTCGCTCAATCTATGATGACCTTCTATACCGATCGCCGCCCTGCTTTGAGGGGTGCTAGAATATAACCAAAAGAATAGCTTTTTCAATATTAAAAGAACAAGAAATTAGTTTTCCTTCCTGTGAAACCTTATGTTTCACATGTACAAAGTAAAAGTGTTTGTTTGATTCTAATGCAGAATTTGCTAAAGATAGAGACGTATAAGCTCCGACAGGGAACGGCTCTCCATGTGCTTTCAGTAGGCGATAATAATTTGACCTACTTCACCAAATTCATGCTTTCTGCTTCCTGATACACAAGTATTGCCGAAGCATAAGATATGTCACAGACTATTTATATGGTTGTTTATTTCGTGAAAAGTTATTATGAAATCACATCAAGTATCGGTGTTGATGTTGTGAAGGTTATTTGAGACACTTGAAATTATCTTGATGATCAGGAAATATGATACTAAAAAAATGTTAAAGAATGACTTTATATAAAGGGGTCTAAATATATTTTTAACAAACTAAACTACATGTCCCTCAGCCTACCTAATCAAGAACAAATGATGTATAATAAAATTGACATTTAAATCCGAGAAGTGAATCTCGACTTTCAAAAATCAATGTACCTGAGAGACAGAAGTCACGGTGGCCATCTTGAATCCTACAAGCTTAACTTAAAAGTCTGTCGTTTAGTGTGAAGTATACCAAATGTTTATTTCTCCCTTTGTATGAACAAAGTCTTACATCCATTTAGCCAACTAGAAAAAGTTGAACCCGGATTGTCCTACATAACGTATATACCCCTATTACAAAGTTACTGCCAATCAGAAGGGAAAAAAAAGAAAAAAACAAAAGCAGGACGTTTCATCGAATTGGAGCCATATATAATGGGCATGAACATATCTGAAGGATTTGCGGCCATTTTTTGTCCCGATTGTGTTAATACATTAGGGTTGCAAACAGAGATGATATAGTGGTCGTCTCTGACAAATTCTATGAATATGTGATCAGCAATGTCTGTTGAACGTGTTGAGCTCACGTCGGATCACAAAGCATGCATCTAACTATATTTTTGTATTGTCCACGTAAACTTGGATAGGAAGAAATATGTTAACAAACTATGTTTTGGGGACTTATTAATAAATAGAAACACTGAAAAATCGGTATGACCCCTTACCAACCCTTCAACCCCGTAACATTTATTTGGGGTACAAAAATATGAGCAACGTAAATCAATATAGTGTTTAAAGTCTAATAAGTGTGTTACATGAGCTCCTGAAGAATTGCCAGAGCGTTATTACTCACAGGGGCTTGGTTTTGACTACTCTGCAACCAAGGTGACTGTCTCGAAAATCGTCTTCTAGATCCTCTGCTTGTTCCAAAGTCCTGATTATTCCCAGAATTGAACCAGGTAAATCCTGTCCTGACAATTGTGACATTAACAAATCTAATCCTGACGGAAGTCTACTCGAAAAACTTCTCTCAGTAAGAGATTGTGAATTCCTTATGTTTTGTAAACCAGCATTAAAAAGTTCATTGTTGCGAAAATCATTTTGATTCCTTAAGTGATGGTCACGACTATTGCTATTCCGACTTCTAGAAGGCTGTGTCCTACCAACCTGTCTTCTCACTCCAATGGAATCACGGATAGGACCTCTTCCTCAAGTTACCTGAACTTTTGATGAAGGACTTCTTGTATTAAGGTTTCGCTCCTCACAAATATTCATATCACATCCACTACACTGTCTTCCGTTTGCAGCAAAGAAGAATGTTTCTTGTCTACACGAGTCTGGGATATGTTCAAAGTTACACCTACGCCGCGGGCACCGTGAAGGTTGTGGCCGAACGGGAGGGTCTCTGATTGGTTTGTCGGGTATGACCTTCTTGCTGCTTATTAATTAACGTTTCTTCTGGTGAAAGATCTGTTTGGGGGCGTGGCCTCCTGCCGAAGTAGCCACGAGCTCTTCAGAAAAAAAAGTTTTATATATTGTTTTCGATTATATTATCTTAATATGTTATTAATAAACAATATTTTCACTTTCCCGTTTTTCAAATATTTGCAGAAGTTTTCGCATTTCCATTTTTTGAGAACTTTTTCCGTTGTAGAATGTTTTGCATTTACATTTTTAAACCCATGAGCAGTGTAGAAGATTTTGCGTTTCCATTATTGGAAACCTTTTCCCTTGTAGAGGTTTTCCGCATTTTTGTATTTTTAAACTATTCGCTGAGTAGACGCGTTTCATTTTTTTTCCAAATCATTTCAGGTGTAGAGTTTTTCTTGTTTCTATTGTCTAAACCCTTCATGATGTAGAACTGTTTGCCTTTCACTGTTTAAACCAAATGCGGGGTAGAAGTTTTTGCATTTCCAATTTTTAAACCATTCGTGGTGTAGAAGATTTTGGTAGTGTATTTTTTAAACTATTCGCGTATAAAACTTTTTGTGTTTCCAATTTTTAAACCATTCGTGGTGAAGAAGATTTGGTAGTCTTATTTTTAAACTCTTCGCTTATAGAAGTTTTTGTGTTTCCACTTTTTAAACAATTCCCGATCTAAGAGTTTTCGCGTTAGCAAGTCTGGTGCCAAATAGATTACGTAGTGTGATCAAACGCGGAATAAGCTAAAACAATCAGCACCGCAAGCGTTGCCAACTTTAACATGATATGAAATGAAAATATGTAATGATCGAGTCAGTATTTTTTCGTTTTAAGTTACAAAGTACTTTTTATATACTAAATTCGCAAAGAAATATAACGCAATTTCTTCCTTTGTTATGATTTTGTCTATACCACTTTAAAAATCTTGAAGGAAACATCATTTCATTCACATTGAAATGCTTAAAAGCAAACTTCGTCAGTGAGTAGTGGATGTATCGTTCTGTAAAATGATTAAATAATGGTTAAACCTGAGTATTTTTAAAACAAATCAAATTGCATTTAGTTTTGCCATTTGTTTCTGTATACAAACAATATATTCAATCTAAAGACGGTCATGTGTGATCTATACTTGTGATTGGTAAAAAATACATTTATCTTAATCAACGATTATAGTGTCATTGAATTTATAGTAATGATAATTTAAAATATATATATATATACATTCATCTACACAAAAATTATAACATAAATAAATAAATTTGCATACAGACATACGTTTGAAAACATGAGACAACACTAACATAAATAAGTATAAATTATGTGCAAAAATTGTCTATTCTCCGATTGTGTAATAAAGAAGCTTAAGGAAAGAAATGGTCTCTATAGATATGAATAAAAAATATGTTAGCAACACTCTTCGTGCAAGGAACCAGCGTTTGGTGCACAGTTAATAATAGCTAAACTATTCTTCCAGGACTTTTCATTTGCACGTGGGTTTTCATTCGTTTTGTGTTATGGCATAGCGATGTAATTATCCTATAGTAAAACATAGTCACATCATACAAATGTAATAGGTAATTGAATAACCTTCCATGGGTTCTTTTTTTTCAGGGTAATAGTACACACTTGCTTGTATTTAGCATATGCAATATTACTACCACAAGTTCGGTGAAATAATTGGCCTGCTGCATTCGACTGAATGGTATGTCTACAGAGTCAGAAGTTTTCGTATGTGTCTCCTACTTCGTGTAAGGGGACATTGAAGAAATAAGAATTTATCTGCCTCTCCAATGCAACCCTTTGTATTTATTTATTTCTTTTCTCAATTTCCCTGGTATTCTTTTCGGTGGTGTCTGCTTAGGCATTCGTCTTCATATACTGTATTTCGCGGTTTAATATTCAGTACATATTCGCGGGGTTTAGGTTTCACTGTGCACCCGAATCCCATGTGTCGTGCAAAGTATTTTGACGGTCATTAAGGGTTAAAGGGGAAAATACAGGTAAACCGTTTGAAAACACTGATCCCGATCATCTTCAACCGCCAGTGACTTCACTCTAAAGAAAATCAAATGAGTATGTACCTTTGTAGAAGTAAACTGTAATCAATTAATCACCTACTGTTTACACATAAATAGTTGTCCGGTGATAATGTAATTTCAGTTCATTTAAGCTTGCATAATAGCGTTGGGTTATAAGTATTTTCGACATGTTGTGATAAGCTCCGTAAAAGAGTTTACATTTTCGATGATTGCGCTGGTGTTTAGAATTCGCGGATATTAGTCAAAACGCCAATATGGCGCAAATATAACCAACGCGAAATATAACCGCTATACAGTAACTCTATCTGCTGTTAGGACGTTAAATCCCATACAAACAAACGAACAAACAAAACACACGTGCAATTTGAAACAAGGAAACTTTGTTATACGGTAGTATGCTAAAGTGTCCTATCTGATATGTGATTGGTGTATGGTCATATTGGGTTCACCTGTTCTGCCTTCGGCGTTGAAACATCCTGGAGGTAATACACATTTCACCTGCTATGAAATGTGTAGTCATATCCGAAGGTTATCTGTACGCAAATGGAATCAACCTCGTGTGGTTTAGTTTGTTTGGACTTTAAATCCTCGCAAAAGCTAGGGTCATACGTTGATAGGACAAATTAAGGGCCACTTCAAAATGGCATCTTACCGAAATATCATAACCTGGACACAGTAGCATGGCACTTCATCCGGTCACGTTATACTGACAACGGTCTGACCTTACAGCATCCGTTTAAAGCAGAAAGTCAAGAAAATGACAGTAAATACCATTTAAACGCCTTTGCGTTTTATCAGTCAGGAGGTATTTGCCTTTTACAATTGCCTTCTTCTCGTGGGCAAACACTCAACTATAAGGCCACATGTTAAGTATTGCGTTAAAAACGGAAATATTGGTAGAAAAATAGAGGGCCGGGAGACCCAAAATATTGCAATGGGCGCAGTTGTTTTATTTTGGTTGCGTAATTACGAGTCACCTAATTGAGGACACAATAGACATTCCCGAAATTTGCATGGAACACCCATACGCCACCTTTATTTACATGTAGTGGATAACAGCAGGTATATGTTTGCGGTCCCTGACCTGCAAGGGTAAGAATAAATATTATTCAATCTTACTTTTTGTGCTATAGAATCAAAATAAATGTGTTCACCTAGTTGGGACTTTACAACCTCTATTTGGGGCAACAACAATCTTGTAAATGAAAGCCAAATTATATGAAAACATAATATAGATGAAAAAATAAATCTTTCCAGAATGTCTCCTTTTACAAAACCTTAAGAATGTATTTTGGTAATGCTGGTTATAACTTGATCAATACATTGAGGTATAATGTATTTCTTAATTATATAAAAATTCCAACCTTGTTACCTTACACTCAGTGTGTCCTAGCATGATTAGATCGGGATAAATAATTGTCAATATTTTATCTTAAAGTAATGTCAATATCAAGATTGAGAGTCACCTTTTTATTATACCATGATTTGTATGCAATCAGGTGCATTATAAGTACTTAAAAATGAATTCTTATCGTCATCAACACAGACATACCTGCAATAGGATAACACGAAGCAGTAAATATGATATTCAAAGTCTGTTGACTGTTGTCAAATACGTGAGCTCAATGATTCCGTTGATATGGATAGGAAACACATGAATAGAAAACGTTAATATAACTTTACCACTGTTCAATAACGTAGAAACGTTTATATCTTTTATAACTAGTAACTGTGTTTATTTTTCATTTCGTGGAGCAATATTGTGGTTTCAATCTGAGATTGTATTTGTAGGTTATCGGTCATCAAATTACATCGGGTGGTCAGGTGGTGCACTAGATACATAATGTAACGCACATGTATGCGACAAAAATACATATCGAGAACATAATTATGTTAACCGTAATTAACCCTCGTACAGTTTATATCACCCTTTAAACATTATATATATATTAATGTGTAAAGCATAGATAAGGTGTTCTGTTTGATTTATTGTCTTTATTATATGACCCTTTTGATGTTTCAGTTTTCAGGCGAAGACTACTTGGCATGCCTACAAATCCGAATGTTTAACAGCATTATGCCCATATTCAAATTAAAAGAATTGTTGAAAATTATATTTTGCCTATTTTTCCAGATACGTTTTACTACATCATATCCGCGCAGATTGAATCATGCTGAAAAAACTATTTTCGCAGTCTATTTTTCTCTTTAAAGATGTCCGCAATTATTTGTTAGCTAATTAATCAAATTCACAGTAAAACGAATTGCAAAACAAACCGATGTAACGGGACCAAAAAAGGGCGAGTATAAACATAATTTCGATTTTAATATTTGAGTGTGTTTTTTTTTAATAATTTCGTTCTTTTGTGAAATAATTTTCCGCTTCAACTTTTCCCAATTTAAGCCTACATGGGAGTCTGTATTGATTTAAATTTAATTATCTGCAGCGTTCTGATATCCATGTTTCCGGAACGCAGACATGTATATTGTACATGATGTGCATACCTGATTACATAAAGTGCGCCGACTTGAACTGTGTCGTAGCTGAATTAACCTTACTGCATAAATAATACAAGTTATGTGACAAGTTAAAGTTTACAGTCAACACTTCCAGTAACATGAATAAATCCTGCCGAAGATAATGAGATTCACACGAGCTTCATCTACTTGTGAACACAAATCAAATATGCACACAACCTACAAAAACTATGCAAAGAATTATATGTAGGAACACTTACGGCGTTCGTTGAAGTTTGAGTCACTTGAAAATCACAAAATGGAATATTACATTTCCTATGTTGCTGCAGTCGTCTTCATCTTTGTATTTAGAGCTCTCGAAACTTGTTCAGGTAAACCTAAATTGAAAGTTCACAAATTTAATTTATTATAAAATATATTCTCTGTCGAGTTTACATTTCAAAAATGAACAAAAACGATAAGTTTCAATCATGTAAAATGCCAGTAAGGCAATACATTCTGCTATGTAGACATAGTACATTATTGTATTATGTGTTAGTTGTATATGATTATCAAAGAATCAATTTATGTTGATATATGTGTATTTTATTTCCACTTATTACAGTTTTATTAATTTTATCGTCAAGAAGTCATCATCAAGTCGTAATGTTGTCTTATTCATCATAAACTATTAACTTAATGCTGCATGTGGAAAAATGTAATCGCGATGGAAATATTGAAAACTGTTCACATAATATGTATACAGTGTAAGCAGTAAGAAACAATTTAAAACACATTTGTATCAAACAACAAAGGACCTTATTTTCGATAATGTATTTCCATAAAGGCGTGAGTTGGATGTTAAGAAGATAATGTCTTCTCAAAAACAATAATATTTATTTTAAAATGTTCACGTTATATTTATAAGCATTAAAAAACAATTTAAAAAACATTGATAACAAGGTACCTTATTTTCGATGATTTATTTCGATAAATGCGAAAGTTTAAAGTTTAGAAGTCATTTTTTTCTCGTAAACAATAAAAACTAATAGACTGTGCTTGAAGTAATTGTGGTTAATTGTACTATTTTTATCATTTTGGCCTCTCCTGTGTCCCACTGCATGCTCTTAAGAGGCGACGAGTAAGCGATACATTCATTTTAAAGTTAGGTACATGTATTGTAAATGGTTAGAAGCTTTAATTGCCAAAAAATAAGAAAATCAAATCGCGCACCGACAGGAACTTAACAAATTACAGAGGAAATCTTATTCGGGACCATTTTGGTGATTACATTCGTTTACAAACGTACCAACATGCAACGAAAGGAAAAATAAACGGCATTTTATATACAAACATATGATGTTCATGTGTTACGGTAGAACACTTGTACTAGGCCCTTCTGTCCTTTAAAAGCAAATTAGGATTTCCTGGGTTTTTTTTTAAAACATATATGAAACACATGTATTAAACAATAAAATATTCTGAAAGATAATTAAATACTCTCTTACAATATTGCAGCGAAGCAAATAACCATCCAGATTCCAAAGGCGAAGCCATCAGACGATGGATGGTACGGTTATACGGAGCTTCAATCATGTGGCTACTCCATTGGCAACTCATCGTATTTCGAGTTTTCGGTGAAGACCTGTACCGGTGCACAAGTAGCGTTGATGTCAGGTCCAATGGACAATTACCAGTTGTATGAAGTGGTGATTAGCGGAATGGACAACTATGAGACTGTTATTCGTAAATATAAAGGTGGTATGACCATGATTAGAAGTCACGGCGGCATGCTGGACTGTTCGGCATTCAGGGCCTTTCAGATACATTGGGACAATGGAGTAATTTCTCTTGTTAGAAAATGTCGTCTAGGAAAGTGGCTGAAAATTCTGAGTTGGAAGGATCCTAATCCTAGACCGATAAGATATGTTGGAGTTACGACTGGCTCATGGGCGTCGAGTACTTGGAGGTTCAACCAGAATGTCGGCGAAAATCAAGGTAGTCATGTTATTACTTAGTATGACACACGTTCATTTGTCTTTAAAGGTAGGGTCAACGCCTATGGAGATTTAACATTAGCCTCGGCCCCCGCTTCGAATTTCAAAACAAGATAAATACAAAAAGGTATGGGTATAGGAAGCTTAAATCAGGAAAAGTTAGTTTCAGAATTCACTTAATGACAAATGGGACCTCATTGACTTACACTAAAGGTGGGGTAAAACAATTCCTCCTAGAGCATTTCAGTGACTCAATTACTATAAAAGTATGTCACCGTCGTGTGCAACATGTTCCAACTAATGTTTTGATACCAAGTATCACAGTATTTCAATAAAGAAGTATTTTTTTTATTGAAGAAAAATCATGCGAAATAGCATTACTAATGAGAGAATTCCCATTTGGACATGTTAATTTGCATAGCTGTAAAACATTTCTATTTTTCATACTCGCTTAAAATAATATAATCTCTTTCAACATGTATAATTCCCCAAAAAAATATAACCGGTAATTATGTCATATAAAATACTTCATTAAAAAAAAGCTATCTCTTGACATGATTATGTTCAGCAAATTTAGGTGTTTTGTATACAGAGGGAAAACGGGTTTTTCTTGATATTTACTGTAGGAAAGCAGGGTACGTGTGTGTGATGAATAGTGATGTTACAGCTGTAAGACATGCAACGTTCATATTCATCAGCCTTTCACTTTTGGAACACGATTTTCTTGTCGCATAAACAACTAAAATGATAATTAACATTTATTTCAATATGTTCACGTGTCTTCAATTAAACACAATGAAAAGCAATACTTCGTATATAGGATTGTCTTTTTCACATTGGTTCGAACATATTATGATACATAAATAGCATACATTTTTCTTATTTTTTTCCCAGATACTTTACAAGATATCCAATTTGAGACGCGCAAGCAAAAAGGACCCAACTATTACTACACGCATCTGACAGACTATCAGTACAAAATGGGACAACAAACGTCCATTACATTTAGTGTAAAAGCATGTAGTGATATCTACGTCGCACTTTTATCCAAGGATACTGACACGTGTACCATGTACGAAGTTATCATAGGTGGGTATGGTAATACAATATCCGTCATTCGACGTGGGAAGAACCGATACAACTACGTCAAGAAACCGTCTTCCCCAGCCGACTGTAACGAGTTTAGGTCGTTTATCGTCAGTTGGCCAAGGGGAGTTGTCTCCGTTTGGTACGAAACTAAAGTTGGAGACTGGCAGTTTCTGATGTCTCTGAGGGATCGAAAACCGATAGATGTTCGATATATTGGCATGACGACAGGAAAAGCGGCATCAGGAACGTGGAAAGTGGCACTTTAGACTTTATCTGACCAGGGGACAAAAATATAAAGATAATGTTACATTTAACTATATAATCGCATTGATGTGCGAGTCAAATAAAATGTCGATCGGAGATATCGGTCAAATTTGCTTAAGAATGCCTTATTGCAGCAATCGTTTATTTACGTGATATAGTAGCTTCAGGATATACTCCTAAAATATATATCTGGTAGCAAAATGTGTATTTGTGAGGTGGAGCGAAGGTCGATGTTACAAACGTCATCATATACAAATGATTTGGTTCAAATGACCAGTATTGGCTCAGGTATTAGGTTGTCTTATTTGTTTAACTGATTTGTAATAGGAGGAACAAATTAAAATGCTCTAGCTCAGACGAGGATTAAAAACTGTAGAAATCTAGAGGATGCTCTATCAAATTGAGTCTGATTCGGTCACAAGGAGTTACCTGGCCAAGTCTCGCTTCGCTACAGATTTAATAAAATGGAAAAATACATGTCAGTTACTGCACATACTGTGCATGGGTCATGTATAAATATAACACAAGACAATGAGAAACTATAGATAGGTTGATATATGACGTATAACGCTCCACTCATGTTCTGACATTTATGTACAGACGATCGACACAAAGGCTACCTACGTCCTTGAATCATATATTAAGTTATTTACTAACTGCTTTTTCGTGCCAGTTTAAACAAGTGACCATTCCATTATTAAGTGAAAAATAGACGAACTAATCATGTCCAATAGTCGATCTTGTTAGCAGTTCTGACACGTTACATTTTAACACAGACGGTTTGAATCGAACAATCTCAATATTAATCCTAGTATAAAAATTAAAATGTATTGTATCACACATTTATAGCCGATATGGCAGAGCAGCTTAAAATATGAGCATAACACGTTGGGTAATTCTGGAATTCAAAATCAATTATACTCATCTTTATCTATTAATTTTAACAGATTAAATTGATTTGTTCATAACATGTAGAGTAAATACTTTTAGGTAATCGCTAGAAAAAACAAAATAAAGAAAAATCGATGGGTTGATGCAGAAAGTATAACAAAGTAAATATTCACTGTGCCATATGACCAATTTGATAATAGATTGTAATGACCAACTGGAGTGCTGTCAATGTTTTAAGTGAAAAATTCGGTGTCAAAACAGGGAAAAAGATATATTTTCGATTTGTAAAAAGTTGTTAATTAATTTCAGCCTTAGAATACGTTTTGCAGATAAACACACAAAATATGAGTATATTAATATACATAAATTATAGATTGTGTTTTAAGAAGATCTCCTGTAATAAAGTTTTATTATAATGTTAAAAATGAAACTTTTGGACACAACGTTATTCGATTAGAACAGACCAGCTGTATCCCAATGATCGTATGAGGCGACTAATGTATCATGCGATACGAGGTCACTGAAGAAACCAATACGTATCGGCTGTCACTATTATGGTAAGCACATTGTCAAAATGTTGTGATACAGAGAACCGTCATGCTACTGCCTCCAAGTTATGATATTTCAGTAAGATGACACCATACAATGGCCATTAACTGTCACCATCATCCCATGTCCTTAGCTGCTGTGAGGATGCAAACCATGAACAAACAGTTATTTGATTTGAAGATTGTTAACATTACGTTATATATCCAAATCTCCCCTTTGAGGTGGCTTTATTCTACAAGATCACATGTTTGTCATATTGTTTTGCCTTTTGCAGGATTATACATGGTTGTAAAGAATAGGTGTTACATAAGTAATATTATATATGACGTCAGATATTACACAAATGCATTACGTCTTCGGATAAATTTCATCTTTAGCGTAGCAGTTTAAGAGATGGAAAAGGAGCATTCTGTCTTCGCATTTACATGTAATTGGACATTTATAACAAAATGATACATTTTCAAATTATCTCCCTGAGCATACAGTGCTTGTCTGCATGGTGTTAACTGCGGGAAGCGTGCGTAGCAAAATGGTCCGATACATAAACTGGTCCTATATGTAAAATGGTCGATATAAAATTCAAAACAAGATAAATCGGACCTCTGAGCTACGTACAGTACCTGCAGCTATATGCTGCTTTTATATTTAATCTAGGTTCAATTATGCTATTATCATACAGCGGTTTGATAAAATACATGAACAAAATTCCTTGTATTGATCTGCTGATGTCAGAATTTGTTTGAAGAAAGATTTAATATTTTACTGTGGGAAAACAAATATTATGCACATCATAAGTTTGATTTACAACGAGTTTGCAAACAAGTCTAGTCGACGCGACTGACATGTTTCTGTTAGCAAATAATGGAAACGGCTATGTCAATTAACATGTGATTTCTATACCCTAGACTGCACTTGAACACGAGTATAACCTCCTCGAAATACTTCTGAAGGTTCCCCTCCAAGTGTTGACATGTGTCATTCGCTCAGCACATGGTGGCGAATCCATTACATTTTTGTTCCACAAAACTTGAACTCTGTCAAATCTTAAATTAGATTGTGATAATAATGTGAGTATGACTGTTTACGTTGAATGTTTATTAACCATTTGTTGACAAAATCGGTATACCAATATACGTGCATTTCCTAAAAATTAGGATTCGAGATTCCCACACGACTGGTTTTCAATCGTATGTTTACTCGTACATATGCAAGAAAACCCCATTGATAGTCTTTACCAAAGACGTCATATTGGTATTCAATCACGTAGTGCAGTTAGGTATCTCATTTCATACAAGTGCATTATTCAATAAGGTTTAAGTTAATATTTTTATACATTTGTAGACTTAGGGGAATATATACATAGCAGTGTGCATTACACTTAGATACTTTATCGTATACAAGTGTAAAGTGAATTAAGTGTCTCTCTATATGTAAGTGTGAATTGCATTAAAGTACTTCTATATATATAAGTGTGAAGTGCATTAAAGTGTCTCTCTATATATAAGTGTGAAGTGTATTAAAGTGTTTTTCTATATATAAGTGTGAAGTGCATTAAAGTGTCTCTCTATATATAAGTGTGAATTGCATTAAAGTCCTTCTATATATATAAGTGTGCAGTGCATTAAAGTGTCTCTCTCTATATAAGTGTGAATTGCATTAAAGTACTTCTATATATATAATTGTGAAGTGCATTAAAGTGTTTCTATATATATGTGTGAAGTGCACTAAAGTGTCTCTATATATATAAGTGTGAAGTGTATTAAAGTGTCTCTCTATATATAAGTGTAAAGTGTATTTAAGTGTCTCTATATATATAAGTGTGAAGTGCATTAAAGTGTCTATATGTATAAGTTTGAAATGCATTAAAGTGTCTCTATATATATAAGTTGAAGTACATTAAAGTGTCTATATATATATATATATATAAGTGTGAAGTGCATTAAAGTGTCTCTCTATATATATAAGTGTGAAGTGCATTAAAGTGTCTCTCTATATATAAGTGTGAAGTGTATTAAAGTGTTTTTCTATATATAAGTGTGAAGTGCATTAAAGTGTCTCTCTATATATAAGTGTGAAGTGTATTAAAGTGTTTTTCTATATATAAGTGTGAAGTGCATTAAAGTGTCTCTCTATATATATAAGTGTGAAGTGCATTAAAGTGTCTATATATATATATAAGTGTGGAGTGCATTAAAGTGTCTATATATATATCTAAGTGTGAAGTGCATTAAAGTGTCTCTATATATATATAAGTGTGAAGTGCATTAAAGTGTTTCTATATATATATACGTGTGAAGTGCATTAAAGTGTCTCTATATATATATAAGTGTGAAGTGCATTTATGTGTCTCTCTATATATAAGTGTGAAATGCATTAAAGTGTATATATATATATATATGTGTAAAGTGTATTTAAGTGTCTCTCTATATATTAGTGTGAAGTGCATTAAAGTGTCTCTCTATATATAAGTGTGAAGTGCATTTAAGTGTCTCTCTATACATAAGTGTGAAGTGCATTAAAGTGTCTCTATATATATAAGTGTAAACTGCATCAAAGTATCTCTTTATATATATAAGTGTGAAGTGCATTAAAGTGTCTCTCAATATATATAAGTGTGAAGTGCATTGAAGTGTCTCTCTATATATAAGTGTGAATGCATTAAAGCGTCTCGATATATATAAGTGTAAAGTGCATCAAAGTGTCTCTTTATATATATAAGTGTGAAGTGCATTAAAGTGTCTCTATATATATCAGTGTGAAGTGCATTAAAATAAGTGTGAAGTGCATTAAAGTGTCTATATATATATAAGTGTGAAGTGCATTAAAGGGTCTATATATATATCTAAGTGTAAAGTGCATTAAAGTGTCTCTATATATATATACGTGCGAAGTGCATTAAAGTGTCTATATATATAAGTGTGAAGTGCATTTAAGTGTCCCGATATATATAAGTGTCAAGTGCATTAAAGTGTCTATATATATATATAAAAGTGTTTTTCTATATATAAGTGTGAAGTGCATTAAAGTGTCTCTCTATATATAAGTGAGAAGTGCATTAAAGTGTCTCTATATATATATAAGTATGAAGTGCATTAAAGTGTCTCTATATATATCAGTGTGAAGTGCATTAAAATAAGTGTGAAGTGCATTAAAGTGTCTATATATACATCTAAGTGTAAAGTGCATTAAAGTGTCTCTATATATATATACGTGCGAAGTGCATTAAAGTGTCTATATATATAAGTGTGAAGTGCATTTAAGTGTCCCGATATATATAAGTGTCAAGTGCATTAAAGTGTCTATATATATATATGTGTAAAGTGTATTTAAGTGTCTCTCTATATATAAGTGTGAAGTGCATTTAAGTGTCCCGATATATATAAGTGTCAAGTGCATTAAAGTGTCTATATATATATATGTGTAAAGTGTATTTAAGTGTCTCTCTATATATAAGTGTGAAGTGCATTAAAGTGTCTCTCAATATATAAGTGTGAAGTGCATTAAAGTGTCTCTCAATATATAAGTGTGAAGTGCATTAAAGTGTCTCTCAATATATAAGTGTGAAGTGCATTAAAGTGTCTCTCAATATATAAGTGTGAAGTGCATTAAAGTGTCTCTCTATATATAAGTGAGAAGTGCATTAAAGTGTCTCTCTATATATATACGTGTGAAGTT